TTTTTTTAGATTCTGAGCGGAGCGATGAATGTATTGGTTTTACAATGATGTATGTTTTATATTTATTTTTTTTGTGTCTGTGTACACGATAAGTAGTCGAAATAATGCTTCGATTTTCGACTTCAGTATCTTGTTCGATTGGAAAGTGAATATCGTTGGTGCATTGGGGAGGTCAAAATTTAAATTTCCCAGTAGTTTTCAAGAGCGCCGGGAAAAACAACATAAAAATTAAGGAAAAACGGGAATTTTTACGCAAAATCGGTTTTCCAAAAATCGATTTTGGTTTTTGGTGTAACTTTAAAACAAATAACCGTAGATACATGAAATTTTCATTGGTTGTTTATATTTGAATTTTCTATATACGATAACATTTTCAAAATATTTTGATTTATTTTGAACTGTTTAGGGACATTTTCATTTTTCATTTTTTTTAGTTTATTTTCTAGAAATATCGATAAAATTTTATTTGTTGGTTAAAAAAACTTGAAAATTTAATAGAAGGCTCCTTCTATTATAGGTCAATTTTTTTTTAATACCATAGATTTGTATATAATTTATCTTAAACCTAGACTGACATACCGTCTTCGCTCAGAATCGTTTTTCTTATACAATGATATTATATCATTGAATTCAAATTTAATAGCATCCATTATACAGTGACCCACTTGTAACCTACTGTACAGCAGAGCGACATCCACTTACCCACCTTTATTATAATTGCATATTAAATTTTAAACGTTACTGTTCTATTTTTTTATGAATATCAATAAAAATTTATTTGTTGAGTAAAACTACTTGAAAATTTATTACAAGGCTCCTACTATATTGTTTCAAAGACAGATGAAAAATATTAAAAATCGTTAGTCACAGTTTTTTTTTTTAAGCATTTAAAGTTCAAAAAATGACAAAATATGGAAAAATCACGAAAATTTGCAAATTATTTCGAGTTAGAAATTCATAAAAATTTTTCTTTTTAAATCTAAGATATGAAAATGTAATACAAGATTCCCTATATGATTTCCTACATTTATCAAAAAAAAAAATTCTATAAGAAAGTCAAATTAAATTTTTATGAGCGTTTGAAATTCAAATTTTTACGACATTGGATATTTACTCGATTTGTCATGTAGCGATTTTCTTATTTTGTTGTTATTCAAAAACGAATAACTATAGATACATGAAAATTTCACTGAATGTTCAGATTAGCATTTCCTATACACCGTACAATTTTGAAAATATTTTGACTCTTTTTGAGCTGTTAATGGACATTTTCAGTTTTCAATTTTTTTAGTTTTTTTTTCTATAAATATCAATAAAGTTTTATCTGTTGGGCCAAAAAGTGTAAAAATTTAATACAAGGCTCCTGATATATTGTTACAATATCAGTTGAAAAATATTAAAAATACATATGCACGATTTTTTTTTATAGGCATTTAAAGTTGGAATTTTGACAAAATTTATCAAAATATCGAAAATTATCAATCATTGTAATTGAAAAATTATAAAATGTTCAGTTTTTATAACTAAGAGTTGAAAATTTAAAACAAAGATTCTCTTAAATAATTCATACTGTAACCAAAAAATCTAAAAAATATATAAACACACTTATTTTTTACAGACATTTTAATTTCAAATTTAGACAAAATTTCATATTTAAACCAAGAATTACGATTTTAGTTATTTCGTTTTGATTGAATAATATTATTCGTGGGTACTTGAAACTTCTAAAGTGTACTATTATATATCTATGATAGCATCAGGGTTTGTTGTTGATGTATAACGCGTTATAAGTACCTAATGTATATTGTGATATGATTAATTTGGAATTTATTATAGGTACCTATTATAGGTCAAATTTTGGTTTAGTACCATATAGATATGTATATAATATGTCTTATACATAGACTGACATACCGTCTCCGCTCAGAATCGTTTTTCTTATACAATGATATTATATCATTGAATTCAAATTTAATACCATCCATTATACAGTGACCCACTTGTAACCTACTGTACAGCAGAGCGACACCCACTTGCCCACCTTTTTTTTTGTTTAAAAACGTATTTATAATTTTATTATATCGTACCAGTCTGTCGGAGTCGGTAAAGCACGATTGAGCATATTATACCTTTTTAGTTTTTACCCATACGATTGAGCATAGAATATTTTCTGCGATGTTGCCACATTCACGTGGACAACATTTTGTAATTTATTATTTTCACGTATCGCCTGCAATTATTATGATACCAGACTCGAGCCGTGATCTGAGCCCAGCTTTATCGACATTGTTATCAATTAATAAATTAGTTCCGGAGCAATAAAGTTACGGAGACATATTTATTTTAGTATTAGCCATTGGGTGTATAAATGTTACATAAAATATTTATAATATTATGCTATTAGGTATATTATAGCGTTGATTGTAAAAATTAGACTGTAAAAAGAAGATTACTATAAATTACATTTAAATATACACAATTAATTATCATAATATTATTATATAAATTAATTCTGAGTGCTTTTAAAATGTATTATTTGTGCTTACCAAAAAACAATTCCATTAATAATTGCTATCTATATAGTATATTATAATGATAATAATATGTTGTTAATGGTTTTATTTCCACATTTTCATATTTTTAAATGGGTTTTATCGATTATAATATTATATATTATGAATACTATAAACTGATACTATATTCAATGTATAACTGTCGATTGTTTGCAGATGGTTAGCGAGTGGTGGACGCTGATGGTGTTGATGTTGTCTGTAGCCTACGGACACGCGCCTTGTCAACACTCATACGGCGGGTGTAGATACAACGAGCCCTTCGTTCCCGCGCCTGTCGGCCAAGTCCCCAGGTGCGTTCGGAATTATCACGGTGACGTCACATTTTGTGAAACCATCGACAGATATCCAGAGTAAGTCGTTTCGAAAACACGTAGTACAAACCCTGAACGAAGCTGATGGAAGCAGAATTCACACAAATAATAGTTTATTATAATATTGTACGTCCGTACCTATAATATAACTGTGTATAATATTAAATTGGTGTGGGAGATTTTAAACATAAATATAGGACAAATTATAGGACATTTTATTTACATTATTGGAACAATACGATCAATAATAAAACTTAAACATTTACGTTAGTATAGATTTACCTACTAATCGATGATCATTATTATATATAATATAGATATAGTTAAATAAATATTATATAGGTAGTACAACAGTACCTATAACACATAATCTGGAATCCCGATATACCATGCACGTATATAAATATTATGGTGTCTGTATTTATGTTTGTTATATTGAATAGTTAATATAAATATGTTACAGAGAACTGATAATTTACCTGATTGCAAAATTGGACAAGAACTTTAAATCTTTTTTTGAAACGAAGAAAAACTAGTCGGCAGAATTCTGTTTTTACATACTTTTAGCTACCTACTTATTTTTTATTTAATTGTTAATATGAAATACCAAACACGTATATAGAAGAATAAAAACATAATATCTAACTATAATATTGTTTCATTATATTATAATGGTCGAACAATGTTATTACTAATTACATTGAACTATACACTCTGTACTTATAGTATTAAACAAAATAAACTGTAGTTAGTTTCAAACTCACATCGAAATATCGAATTTCTGAACTTTTATATGGGTGTTATACAAGTTTCACATTTTTTATACTATATAAATGCTTTGGTCCTTGTGTGTCATATCGCAGTAATCTTTTCGGTTTGTACAGTAAAATAATTTACATTAACAAATATAATATGTATCTTTAAAACTTAAAACTCTAATTCTATTTTACAAATTAATTTATATAATATTATGATATATCTTATTTTCCTAATTTTCTATTCGCGAAAGAAAGCTTGTCAATTTTTAGACCGGCGGGGATTGGTCTGTAACATCGGGCAACATGGAAAAATAACATACACAGCTTATATTAATTTCTATCGTGAATAGGTAGGATACAGTCTTAGATAAAGAATGAGTTTCCATTGTTGCTCATTATTCCTTCTTATTATTTATGTTAAAGTATGGCATTTTGATCATAGGCGCAACTTGGGTTAAATGTATGGGGGTGCTAGATTTATATCGACTAAAGTAATAAGGCTTTGCCCCCATCCATTCATACAACTTAATTGTACACACCTTTGCATTAATCTTAATATAAACAATTACCTATAAGTTATAATTAACATATAATACAATATTATCTATATTATTATTCTGATAGGTATCTATGTATTATTATGAAAATGAAAATGAAAATGATAAGGTCTTATAAAAATTTATTCAAATACTTATGGTATAATATTATAGTCATTAAAAATGCAATAATGTTATCAAAAATTTGGGGGAGCTAATATAAATTTTGGGAGTTCTAAGCACCCCCAAGTACCCTTGAAATTGTGCCTATGATTTTGATGGAGAATACTCCCGCAGATCCCGCAGTTGTACTATTTTTAGTGACGCACCAGGTTATTCCAAACTGTAACAATTTCAAATTTGTACCCACTGCTCTATTACCTATAGTCACCATAGGTGCCAGATATTTGAATCTAATAAACCAAAGCCATTTATACAAAATCCATTATAAATAATTGTTAATAATTAAAAATCATACTGTCGTCTATCAATGCCAAAAAATCAGAATTATAAAGCCAGTTGCAGTCAGTTAAAATACTAGTTTGTAATGCATCCATAGTAAGTATAAGTGATAAATATTCACAGTTTTAGTTTAAGTACGTACTTATTAATATTAGAAAATAAGCATTTATACGCAAACTTGTACATTGTACAAGTATGTGGAAAGAAAATTATTCAAACTCTAAAACCCAATATAATAAAAATTTGGCCATTGCAATCAGGTAATAGAAACAATAAAACGATTCTGAGAGGAGACGGTATGTCAGTCTACTAAAATCGTAATTCTTGGTTTAAATATGAAATTTTGTCTAAATTTGAAATTAAAATGTCTGTAAAAAATAAGTGTGTTTATATATTTTTTAGATTTTTGGTTACAGTATGAATTATTTAAGAGAATCTTTGTTTTAAATTTTCAACTCTTAGTTATAAAAACTGAACATTTTATAATTTTTTAATTACAACGATTGATAATTTTCGAGATTTTGATAAATTTTGTCAAAATTCCAACTTTAAATGCTTATAAAAAAAAATCGTGCCTATGTATTTTTAATATTTTTCAACTGATATTGTAACAATATATCAGGAGCCTTGTATTAAATTTTTACACTTTTTGGCCCAACAGATAAAACTTTATTGATATTTATAGAAAAAAAACTAAAAAAAATTGAAAGCTGTAAATGTCCATAAACAGCTCAAAAGAGTCAAAATATTTTCAAAATTGTATGGTGTATAGGAAATGCTAATATAAACATTCAGTGAAATTTTCATGTATCTACAGTTATTCGTTTTTGAATTACAACAAAATAAGGAAATCGCTACATGAGAAATCGAGTGAAAATCCAATGTTGTAAAATTTGAATTTCAAACGCTCATAAAAATTTAATTTAACTGTCCGGTAGAGATTTTTTTATTGATAAAGGTAGATAATCTTATAAGGAATCTTGTGTTTCATTTTCAAATCTTAGATTTAAAAAGAAAAATTTTTACGAATTCTTAACTCAAAATAATTTGCTAATTTTCGTGATTTTTCCATATTTTGTCAATTTTTGAACTTTAAATGCTTATAAAAAAAAATTGTGACTAAGGATTTTTAATATTTTTCATCTGCCTTTGAAACAACATATTAGGAGCCTTCTATTAAATTTTCAAGCTTTCGCAACCAACAAATAAAATTTTATTGATATTTAAAAAAAAAAACTAAAAAAAAATGGAAAATGTCCCTAAACAGTTCAAAATAAATCAAATATTTTGAAAATGTTATCGTGTATAGAAAATGCAAATATTAACAACCAGTGAAATTTTCATGTATATACGTTCATTTGTTTTAGAGTTACACCAATAACCAAAATCGATTTTTTGAAAACCAATTTTGCGTAAAAATTCCCGTTTTTCCTAATTTTGTGTGTTGGTTCCCGGCGCGTGTGAAAACTACTGGGAAATTTATACTTTTGACCCCCCAAAGTACCAACTAGATTCATTTTCCTATCAGAAAAGCTACTGATGAAGAAATCCAAGCACTTTTACTGTCCTAAAACGTGATGACAGACACAAAAATATAAATAAAAATATAAAAATATAAAAATATAAATAAAAATATAAAAACATACATCATGGTAAAACCAATACATTCATCGCTCAGAATCTAAAACAATAATTACCTACTATAAATATACCTATTCTATTCAATATTTCAAATAAATGTTCAATACAAGTAACGTAACTAAAAATTAAAAAACATTGATATGATATTATCTTCGTCTGTTTTTTTTGTATTATTCCAATCAGAATCAGTTATCCGTTTGGCTGCAACTACGTGGTAGTTAAATCAAATTAGCAACGTTAACTTTTAACAGAACTCAGGCAAACTCGTGCCATTATATAATGAACTGCGATTGTTTAGCTGAGTTATAAATAATAATATTTGTACATAAATAAAATATATGGTGTCGGTTTTTATGCTTAAAATATTAAAATATTAAACACTAAATATTAATATGTTACAGACAGTTGATAAGTTACCTGGTTACAAAATCGGACAAGAACTTTAAATCTTTTTTTAACGAAGAAAAACTTTTCGACAGACCTTATTATCAAAAGTAACTGCTATAAACAAGTTTTTCGAACGTTCAAACTTATATAAAAGTTTGATTTTTGATTTCAGTCAGAATAATAATAACTATAATAGCGGTTATGGCGATTACCATGATTATCAAAACGATACTCAAGACGAATTTGTTGGCTATCCGGATAGAACATACGTTTTGCCTCAGGTGTCCTTAACAGAGTCTCCGATCATAGACCAAAATCGACATTTAAATATAAAGTAAGACATTAATCATATGTATTAGATTCTAAGGTAAAAATACTATAGATTATTCAAAATTAGAAAAAAGAAGAGTCCAAAAACTTTTTATTTTAATATATTTTTTTAGATTCAGATATAATAATTTTGTTTGATTTTCAAAATATTAGTCAAATTGATAAGGCATAAATATTCCTAGTATCTAAGAGGTCAAAAATAGTACACTATATTAATAACTAAAAAAAAATGACTGGTTTGTTGTGATTTTTAAGTACCAATCATGGAGGTGTATATAATAGAAGAAAAAGACAAGACGATGTTCAATTATGCCAAGTTAAAACTAACAACATATTTCCTAAAGCAGCATTAAACATTCAAGGTGAATGGAAATATGTAGTTAATATGGTACGCACCCCGTCTGATATGTATACACAATCCATAAGGTCGGAAATCTGCGCGTAAGTTTAATATTTTTTTAGTAAATTCTTATAATTATCAATGTGAAGATTCCTTTAACTGGTATCATATCTACACATTGGCGTACGCATGTTTGCCTATAATTAACGCCGTTTGATTATTTATAACGTTGTGAAATATTAAATTACTTAATTTATTACTGTATATTATCTATAGTTATTAATTTGACATTAAAATATATTGTTACATATTCAAGTTAATAGATTTTTTAAATTTTAAATTTCTTATGGGACACTAAATATGTTTTATGAATCAAATCGAGGGTAGGTACGGTCAATTTATAGTAGCCCTTAAGCAGTTATACAACAATAATATTAATTAATATGTATTGCATACTTATACCTAATTGGCTAATTGCAAGTAATGGAATATTTTTCAGTTTATAAAAATTCAAATTAAATAATGCATAATTTAATATGACACAAAACATAAAATTGATTTTTCATAAAAATACAATGTTCATAACAGTCATAACATTTTATTACAAATTCTAAAACGAAATGTAAATTTTAATATTATTTGATTACTTTAAATCTTTTAACCAATATTATAAATAAAATTTGAAGTTTTATATGAAGTCATAAAATTATTTTGTTTTAACAAAATGACAACTGCTCTATAAAAAAAATACCACTGCATTGTATTTATGTATAAACATTTTGCATGCAATTAATATTACTAATACAATAAATGTCAATTAAAATGTATTAATAACTGCTCACAATAATTAAAATAAATGAAACATTTTCATTATAATTTATAAATATTAGTTATTGGTATAAATATAAATATCAAACAAAAGCATAACATACAATGATACAAACTTGGGTAAAATAATAAAGTATTAAGTGTTCAACAACATTTAAATATATGATTGACAATAAAAATGTCCAAATGTATTTATAAATAGTTATTAGATTTTTTTCCACCAGAAAATTTAGTCTAAAATATTAAATCCATGAAAAATAAATTTTTTCGGATAACATTTTTTTGAAAGTACCTACTATTTAGTATTTATTAATGATTGTTTTTAACGATTTAAAAAAAATGAATTATAAAGTTTGTTTTTTTAATAGTACCGACGTCAACCAATTTGTGTGTGTAAACGATTATCCTTTTCATACCTGCGTGTGGATATTATTATTTTATATATTTACTATAATATTACGATACTCAGTACAATAAAATAAATATTATTATTTCTAGAGAGCCCGATCAACCGTGCAACGGAATTTGTGATACACCTCTTGGTTTTAGTACGTCGTGTAAACAGAAATTCGTCCAAAAACGGTTGGTAGCATTGCAAGGGACCGGAGATAATTTGTACGTGGACGTTTTTTGGTTTCCACATTGCTGCTCTTGTAACATAGCCAGGGTTGAACAGTAGCAATAAAAAAAATACCTATAATTTATGTTTTGCAATTGGCGTTTTTCTTCTTGGAAAATACCTCAAATGATTTCCTTTACTACATTAAGTGTACACTTAATAATATGTAGAATATAATATAATATATCAGTATAAAATAGATTTTTGTTTCGAAAGCCAATATCTTATTATGATAGGTAGGTACTATATATGTTATATTATGAATGCTATTTAATGGTAGTCATGGAATATTCAAATGATTAATATTTACTCGTAGTTATTTCAACCGTAATTAAACATGTTATGTATTATTTACGACTTGTATTTTTTTTTGTAAACAGATATGTTTAATGTTTCATTTATAATTTATAATACTTTATAATACTACTTTACTATCGTAAACATTTTTTTTTTTTTTTAATGGATGAATTGTTTTAGTAGTTTTAATATTGACGAGGATGCAAAATTATGTTTTACAGAAACACAAAATAAATAATATTATATAATAAATAATGATTATAGTTGAAATAGGGGTAATTATATTTACAATAAGTTAAATAATGTTAAATATAATGTTCTCATTTTTTGGAGCATAGAAAAATATACATTATAAAAATATATAAACTGTTCATCTAGTTATTTTAGATAAAAAATCTTTATTTAAATAAATATATTTCTTATTGATGAATTATTTATTTGTAAGGTATATATTAGTTAGCTATAATTATAATACTTAATATTTGTACTTTTTAATATTGATACATCACTGTTATTGATATAAAAATTATTATTTAAATTTATGTAATTACTATTAAGTAACCTGAAGAAAATAAATTCTCGTTCAAATATTTGATTATTATTTATTATTATTTTTTTTACTGATCATTCTTGTTGAAATATATTACTATACATATTTTATGAACTTTTTGTTTTTAACATATCTTGTGGTAACTTCGGTTTATCAATGTTTCAGTACTGGTATTTTTTTTTCGAGTATGAAACTTTGTGAAAATGAGAGATCATTTCTAAAGTGTTAAATCTCATGATATCGTTAAAAGGTGAATTTTCATTCACTGTCCAGTGTCCACTCAGCAAAAAAAAATGCCAAATATAATGTAACTGCATACTACTATAATTTCCTAAGAAACTGATTACTATTGATTATTGACATCATTATTAGCAAGTAATAATAATTATAATTTAAAAACTTTTAATTTGTTAATTAATCCAAAAAATGAAAGAAAGTCGTTGAGTTTATAATTAGCTAGTTTTAAAATATGTTATTCTTTTGAAACTTGATATTGTGTTAAACTGTTCAAAATTTGGATATTGAGTAAAAGTAAAATGCACATCAAAATAATTAAGTATTTTATTTTTTTTTATATTGATAGATAACTAAATAATAAATATTGTATTACCACGATGTATTAAAAAAAAAGTAATGGTCTTAAACATACTACAATATAATTTATTAATGTGTACAATTATCGAATAATTAGTATGAATAGCATATTGTAATATAATATTATAATATATCATCATTATTCGTTACTATTGTTATAACATTTTTAATTAGGTGCAGCCGATGGAATTTTATTTCGCACAGGCGTTGGCAGATTCTTAATAACATTTTGGCAACCGTCGAAATGTTGAATGAACGGAAAAAAATAATTGTAATGATAAATGTATTCAATGAATTATCAACTTTGCTTGATTCACAATAATAGTGACTATATACAGACTACAGAGTCGATATAGTGTAATTAAATTAGTGGCTTACACAATTAAAGGACAAATGAATACGGACAGAAGGACATTAATAATTTTAGTTTGTATAATATCAAATATGTTACATACTAAACATGACAGAAAATATCAACCCTTTACCTCCACATATATATTATATTATAGTATGTATTATGCTGTAAATCACGTATAACGAATTTTTCATGGGAAACTCGAAAAACACATTCTACCCAAATGTGACTGTGTGTATAATACTATTATATATAATATATATATGAGTGTACAACTCATCAGCCTCTGAATTCACGAACGAGAGAGACGAAAGCACGTTTCGACGAATATTTACCACTACATGTAGCTTTTTTTGTTGTTGTTGTACCTTTATAATATAGTTACCTACAATTTAGACTATAGACAAAAACCAATATTAGATTACTAAATGGTTTCTTTATATTGTATAATATATCTTGAAAAAATCTAAGTATACTATATATATTATGGTTGTTTTTCCGTTATTATTTGTTTCCGGAAACAATGTCTATTTTGGTTTTATGATTCTAGATATTATATTGGTTTTAAAAGGATCCGATTTCTTTTTTGTGGATGTCATAATGTTTTAAAATATTAGAAAATAGAAATAACAGGAATCTTTTCGCAAAACCAGTTTTTGTCAAAATCGATTTTTTTAAATATTTAATATTTTTATACCTATCTCAAAAATCAATCACTGTAATCATAAACTATCTATCGTAATTAACTTAGTTAATTATATAATTTATAGCTTGTAATATGATATTAAATAAGCAATTCATTTTCTGTTAGTACCTACCTAGTATTGTAGTTTTAATTTTAGCTCAATGCATCGCTTATACCTATATGTATAATATATTAATTATATTAATTTAAATCAATACAGGTGTACCTACATAGTAGTAAAATGGTGTAAATAGGTTCGTAAACTTGTAGTAGCTCAAAATTAATCTAAATATTTTGAGAATTTCATTGCGTTTAGAAAATAAAAATATTTTAAGTCCCTGCGATTTATATTATATTTTTAATTAGATACTTACAATGTAATAACTAAAATCGTTATTTTAGTTTAAAAGTCAAATTTTGTCAAAATTAGAACATAAAAATAGTGTATAAGTGTATATGAATTTTCTATACACTTAGAATCCTGTAAAAATAACTTATAAAGAATCTATTGTATTACTTTTTAAAACTAAACATTCAAAAATGTATCGATATTTATTATTTAAAGGAAAAAAAATCGAAAATTTCAAATGTTTATAAATAGTTCAAAAAGATTCAAAATATTTTGAAAATTAAATCATATCTAGGAAATTCTAGTATGAATATTAATTTGTGAAATGTTCAAGTTTATATAAACACTGAGGTTGGTGACCGGTGGACTCTATATTATAATCCGTATTCTGCGATTTTCACACGGACACCGTATGCCGGCTTGCAAAATTTGATCCTCTGTTTCAGACATTATTCATTTTTGAATTACTACAAAATCGATTTTGTCGTAAGTTGGTTTTGCGTAAAATTCTCCATTATACTGTAATTTTTTTTTAGTTTATCCCAGATATTTTAAATTTTCTACTTTTGCATAATTATATCATTGCAAACTAATACATTATCGCACCACTCAAAATCTAAAACTATATTTCAAATGTATATTTTTAGGGCTTTTTAAATAATATTTAAGTTATATATCAGGTTATCTGATTTCTTAAGAGGATTCCGAACCCACGTGTGGTATCTTCGTCTTACAACAGCACCTTGATCATCCTGATACACAAACTGTATGTTTAGTATGATTTCGACCATTAATAGCTGAAAAGACTTAATATATATTACAGACAAATTTATAAATTTAATTAATTTGATGTTAGTACACATCACACGCGGCATGGTGCACTGACATGGGATGGCGATAGCACATTAGCACACATTCTCCTCCTTTAAATGTAAATGTTAATTTTATTGAAGTCTATGAGATGCCTTAGGGCCCAGAATACAGATAATATATTCTTATCTTTAAATTTGATGATAGAATGATGTTTCACTCTAATATTAAAGTTATCAACAACATCAGGGCCTAAAATTGTGTGCAGTAGCTAATATTAAATGTGCAGTAGCAAATTTAAAAGTGTGCAGTACTTATTTTCGGCTTTTATAAATTTTTATTTAATGAATATTCAATATTGATTATTGAAAATTACTAATTAGCATATTGTATTAGTTTAAAATTCTTAACACTAAAAATAATTCCGACTACGCCATTTTTTGGGTGGCTTATAATATAATAACTAATAAGTATATTGACCCAAGCTATATAAATGTTTAGTCATATATTTTATCACCCTTATTATTACGGGTATCAAGGACTTTAATAGAAGATTATCTTAGATTATATTTATTATAACTTATTATTAATTAATATCAAAAACCATAATGCAATGAAGTCATAACACTTATATGTGGCATGTGCACTAGTAGGTATATGTTCATTATTTTAAAATATTTTGGTGTGGAATTAAGTGTGCAGTAGCGAAATATCTTAATTTTAGGCCCTGAAAAACATAAAATATTGTACCGGAATTTGTAAGTCGGAAGCTACACAGCGATTTCGGCATTCTCTTAATTTGAAATAATAATTTAAAAACACATCAAAAACAAAATTACCCACTTAATAGCAGTATTGGCAATGTACCTACTTCAGAAAAACTAAAATTAAAATACTGTTATTGCCTCTTTACCAGTTTACCTAATGATTTTTAGATATCAAGATATAATAAGTAATAACGGTGGTTAACGATTGTTGCGTCTAGTATATTATCATTTATCACCTAGTCCAATGTAATATGGTAATGTTTATTACAACGATAACATATTTTGTACAGTTAAATTATAAACGAGTTTGCAAAATCTATAAATTGTGGTCTCAGTGATTATTGACAAATGATAAACAACCGATATTTAATAAAAAGTTATTTATAATACTGAAGAAAATTAAAATTTGTGAAAAATATCCTAAAAATTACATCATTGTCAAATTTTTCAATAAATGCAAAATAAAAACTTTACTTATTAAAATAATTAGTATCATAGAATCACCAGAAACACAATTGTCCGCTTTTAAGGATATAAACACTAGAAAAGAAAGACGTTGCAAATCTTAATTCCAGTTCTAAAATTAAATATTGTCTATATTATTAGTTGTAGGTATTCAACATAGTGTAATTAATTCTATTACTAAATGTATT